CTCACAGTGGCGGAGGTCCGTGTCTTTTCTCGTGATCTTCATTTCAATATCATGAGGCTCGTTCTTGGATTCTGAAATGGTCGAGTGACAAAAATTTGTTATTATGTACTTTTTGGTAAAGACCACATTTCGTGTTCGGAACGTAAAAGTAGAAATGATCACATTTCATGAAATAATAATTATTGAACAGTTTGTAGAAAATTTTAAACAAAAAGAATATGTTTCACTTCTTGTACTTACTATTCACAGCTGCCTAACAAGGTTTACAAAGGGTTCACACTTTGTTTTGTCAGTTGAAATTTTCGTTCCTGCTGAGTAAGAATCTGAGATAAAGTGTTATAATATGCTATAATAGCAAAACATGCAGATTTATGAAAACGTTTAAAATGATAAATCCGATTCCATTTATCAATCGGTTGCATTTGTTAAAATCTTAAAAGGGACACCGGTTCTACTGTTTGGTACGGGGTACAATGTTTACCATCTTCAGTGGTAGGTTGATACTAGTGAAATTGTCCATTAAGATAGCTTGAAATGTCTGGTTACAGCAGTATCTCACAGTGGCGGAGGTCTGTGCCTTTTCTCGAGATCTTTGTTTCAATATCATGAGGCTCGTTCCTGAATTCTGAAACGGTCGAGTGACAAAAATCTGTTATTATGTACTTTTTGGTAAACACTACATTTCGTGTTCGGAACGTAAAAGTAGAAATGATCACATTTCATGAAATAATAATTATTGAACAGTTTGTAGAAAAATTTAAACGAGAAGAATATTTTTCACTTCTTGTACTTACTATTCACAGCTGCCTAAAAAGGTTTACAAAGGGTTCACATTTTGTTTTGTCGGTTGAAATGTTCGTTCCTGTTGAGTAAGGGTCTGAGATAAAGTGGTATAATATGCTATAATAGCAATACATGCAGATTTATGAAAACGTTTAAAATGATTAACCCGATTCCCTTTATCAATCGGTTGCATTTCTTAAGATGTTAAAAGGGACACCGGTTCTACTGTTCGGTACGGTGTACAATGTTTACCATCTTCAGTGGTAGGTTGATATAGTCAAATTGTTTATTAAGATAGCTAATGTCTGGTTACAGCAGTATCTCACAGTGGCGGAGGTCTGTGTCTTTTCTCGAGATCTTCGTCACAATATCATGAGGCTCGTTCCTGGATTCTGAAATGGTAGACTGACAAAAATCTGGTATTATATGTATAATAGTCTTTGATAAACACCAAAGTTCGTGTTCGGAACGTAAAAGTAGAAATGATCACATTTCATGAAATAATAATTATTGAACAGTTTGTAGACAAATTTAAACGAGAAGAATATTTTTTTCACTTCTTGTACTTACTATTCACAGCTGCCTAAAAAGGTTTACAAAGGGTTCACATTTTGTTCTGTCAGTTGAAATGTTCCTGTTGAGTAAGGGTCTGAAATAAATTGTTATAATATGATATAATAGTAATACATGCAGATTTATCTAAAACGTTTAAAATGATTAATCCGATTCCATTTATCAATCGGTTGCATTTCTTAAAATGTTAAAAGGGACACCGGTTCTACTGTTCGGTACAGTGTACAATGTTTACCTTCTTCGGTGGTAGGTTGATACAAGTCAAATTGTTCATTAAGATAGCTTAAAATGTCTGGTTACAGCAGTATCTCACAGTGGCGGAGGTCTGTGTCTTTTCTCGTGATTGTCGTTTCAATATCACGAGGCTCGTTCCTGGATTCTGAAATGGTCGAGTGACAAAAATTTGTTATTATGTAGTTTTTGGTAAACACCACATTTCGTGTTCGGAACGTAAAAGTAAAAATGATCACATTTCATGAGATAATAATTATTGAACAGTTTATAGAAAAATTTAAACGAGAAAAATATTTGTCACTTCTTGTACTTACTATTCACAGCTGCCTAAAAAGGTTTACAAAGGGTTCACATTTTGTTTTGTCAGTTGAAAGGTTCGTTCCTACTGAGTAAGGATCTGAAATAAATTGTTATTATATGATGTGATAGCAAAAAATCAAAACTTTGTTAAATCTTTGAATATATTTTGAATTTTGTTTAATGTTAAATACATATTTATCACAGTGCTGGCAAGCACGACCGTTGCATTTATTGTGGGTATACTATGTTCCCCATTTACTATTATACCCCCTTTACTATTATACCCCCTTTACTATTATACCCCCTTTGGTACACGTTACAAGCCTCTTTTGTGCACGCGAAGCGTGCACTCCGGCCGGAGGCGGCGGCCGAAGGCCGCCGCCTCCGGCAGGAGTTTTTCAGGCATTAAGACTCATCGGAAGTCGTTCAGCAGATTTATTTTTAGTTCAAAACATTCTAATTTGATGTCAAAGATGACAGGAATAAAAAATAGTTATGTTGAGATTTTTAAGAAATTTGCATAAAATACTCGCCAGCACTGTTATACGAAATTCGGTAAAAAACCCAAAATCGCCATATTCAGGTGCCTTAAAAACCATCTTAAAATTGAGTTAGAGATCTGAAATTTTTCAGGGCGTCTAGACGTTGACCAAATCGACTGCAAAAAAAGTTTCAGGTTTCAGGAGCATCGGGAAATGGGTTTTCTAGAACCCCTGTTTTACGATAGATTGTCGTGATACATACATACATACATATATATACATATACATATATTCAGGGATAGACGCTTTGCCAGTCAATTGTAGCCTGTATTTAGGTGTCCATAGATTTAAAAGTATAAAAGATACAGCCATTTCCGACCACAGGTCTTGCAAATAATTGTTTACACTTTAGTTTACATTGTATAAAAAAATTATTTGACGTCATAAACACCCCTTGATGACGTCATCAAGTTAACCGTTTTTAAAACTTGATTTTTGACAAAGTAATAACTTTTAAAATTAATTTTAAACCATTAAGGAGTAATTGTATTCAAAATCTGAGGAAATTTTTACCTTAGATAATTGTTCAAGCATTCTGAAAATCTACCGGAAAGTTTTTCTAGCTTGCTCCTTCATAAAGATATTCGTCATTGAAGTTTGTGCTTTTTTGAAGAATTATTTTATAAAAACGTCAATTTTGCGATTTAGTATTCTCTGGTGTTGGGCCATGCCTTGGGTTGTGGAGCTCAGTTCAGCTTCCTATAGGTATAAATTGTGCATTAGGCTAGTTTTAAAGTTGAAAATCGAAAAGTTGCACACGTGGGGACACGCCCAAATTGATAGAAAATTGCTAAAATCACTGAAAATTGCTGTTTTCGTCATTTTCTGTCTACTTTAGAGTGCCGTTGTGATTACAGTTCTTCTTGAAATAATTTGAAACTTTGCATGCCTATTAAACTATATATAATACAATTACATGCAAAAATTTACGGCGATTCAATATTGGATGCGCACGCAACGTCCGCTCAAAGTTTGCACGTGCGAAAGGTGAGAATTTTGCTCATTCGTGATTTCCAACAAATTCTGCTTTGCCACGACAGTTTAATGTCATTATATATGAATTTAATGCCAACTTGAATGAGTATTAAGTGGCATATTCAGTCAGTGATCGACCGATATGCTTCCCTAAACACAAGGAAATGTTTTTTAAAGGAAAAATTTCGAAATCGTTGAAACTTCCTCCTTATTAATGAATATATCAGTTTATGTTTCGACTTTATAAAGTACCCTGACATTATAATCAAAAAGAGATGATATTTTACCAAAACCCATAATCATGGGTAGAGTGGACCGCTGCCAGTGTCTCTCTTTCCCAAACAAAAGGAAATGATATTAATTTGATTGACCGTTCTCAAATGCAAAATGATACCGAGAATGAAATCGGTCGCTCGCTTTTCCCATTCATTTACAATTGTAATACTAATAGATTAAGAAGAACTACCCCAAGGCAGCTGTACTCGGCAATGAAGATTCAATAAACTTCAGCTTGTTCAATAAGTAATAACTACCACCCTTGTCCCTTACCCCGAAATACTAGGTATCGACCCGAACGCAACCCAAAGAGATTTTTACAGCATCTGATTGACATGTAATCAATCGAAAATTATTACAATTCGTAAGCCGTGAATGAATGGGAAAAGCGAGCGACCGATTTCATTCTCGGTATCATTTTGCATTTGAGAACGGTCAATCAAATTAATATCATTTCCTTTTGTTTGGGAAAGAGAGACACTGGCAGCGGTCCACTCTACCCATGATTATGGGTTTTGGTAAATAAATGATATGTATTTAACATTGAATAATGTTTATAAATGTTTATAAACACAAACATGTCTCACAGTGATGGAGTTATGTGTCTTTTTCAGGGTATTCATCCCTTATCAATGCCATGAAGCTCGTTTCTGTAATCTGTATTCTGAAATGGTGATTTGATTGCCGAGTGACACATTATTTCTGGTATTGTACATGTAATTTCTGGTGATCAGCACAGTTCATGTTCAAAATTTGATCACAGTCAAGTTCAAAATAAGTTAGATAATATCAATGTGTGTATTAAACAGCGATTGAATTTTAGGAATTCAGCACAATAGAAGTGTTATCACGAAAAATCACTTTAAAAAAGGTCATTTTACTAACCTTCAATTACTAACCATCAATTCTCATTAATTGGTTGAAGCTGATATCCTTTCTTTCTACCTGTTGAAAATTCGTATAGTCTTTATACTGCATCGTCTTCGTTCCTGGAGTTGGTTATTAATAACTTAAAATAAGAGTAAATTATCATTAATTTACGATAATATAAAGATCTTCTCGCTTTTGCCAAATTTGAAATGGAAAGCACCGGATCTCCAGTCAGTTTCTAATATTTGCTAGACAATATTACCAAGCTATCAATGGTGTATGTAATAACAATTAACTAGATTCTACTTATTAAGTATAGGTACGTACCGTAATTGTAGCTGCTGATTAAGCTGAAAGTTGGTTTAAAAACGAAGGCAAATAACTTTGCTTTTCTAAAGTTGTTATATATTAGGGCTGGATAAACTTCAGCAGTTGAAAACTAATTACAACACTACAAATCTATTACATTTATTGAGTATTATGTAACGCGATGGAAATATTTTAAGCGGGTAATATCATCCTGTCCAAACCCAGGATACATAACATCAGTGGCGTAACAAAGGGCCCCGCTGACCCCGCTGTGCGTGACTGCGGGGGGGGGGGGCGCCGTCTTAGGGGGGGGGGCGCCAAATCGTCGTTTGAATGTGGGACAATTTCGAAAACTTAACTTAAGCACTAGCAAAACTGCGCGTTTTGCTCTAGAAACGCACTTTTTTAGAGATTTTACCGGCGTATTCTCCCAAATCACCTAATTTGTTCAATTTTAGGGAGGGGTACCAAAAGGGGAGGGGGCGCCAACAGGGGGGCGCTTTTTCGGCGGGGGGGGGGGCGCCAACAGGCAACGTTTTGCCACTGCATAACATGAAGACTTTCTTGTAACTTTGTATGAGAAGTATTAATATAAAGATATAAGCCTTATAATGTTACAATTTTTTGGATATTGATTGAGCAGTTTTTTTGAAAGATTTCGACGAAAAGAGTAATCTTTCGCTTCTTGTACTTACTGCTCACAGCTCGTAAAATGGTCAACAAAGGATTCACATTTTGTCTTTTCAGTTGAAAGGTTCGTTCCCGCTGAGCAGTGAGCACTGAGCAAGGGTCTGAAACAAATTGTTATAATATGATATAATAGCAATACATCACACCTTTGCTAAATCTTTGAATAGATTTTGAATTTAATTTAATGTTAAACCGATATTACACTTTTACATTCGTTGCTAAATTGTAGCTCTCTTATCAGCAGTTTTGTGTGCGCGTTGAATTATCTCTCTGGCTTTGTAGATTTGTATACATTGTTTGTACATTTTCTGTACAACGTGTACGATGCCTTTGCCGCTACAGAATGAACACTTGGATATGCTAGATGATGCTATGGTTATGAATGGCCAGTTCCTTACGGAGTATGTGAATCAGATACACATGGCAACTAACAGTATTTTCAAGGAGATTAGAAGTAAAATCGGTGCCGAACACAACGATGATGTGCAATTTGACAAACTGAACCAGAGAAGTGTGCCTAGAGAGAGTTTATCAGAATGGCTAGAGACAGTGTGCTGTTTGCTGAACGATTATTGTGGTCCATTGTTACAATCTGCCACAGAAACAGCTACCGACAACAGGGTGTTCAGGAAAGAAAAAATAGTAGATGCGAATAAGATCATAGAACTGCAAGAGAAGTTACTCTCTAAGCAAGAAGAAGATATGACAAAAATCAGTGATCTGCAGGAGAAGTTAGCTTTGAAGAAGGATGACGAGATTGGAACTGTGAAAAGTGCAGCTCAGAAAGAGATTAAGACCTTTTCGTCTCTGTTGAAAAACACGTGCAAAAACGCCTTTGCACCGAAGAAAATCCAAGCTGCAGTAAAAAGGGTTGCCCTAGAAGAAGATCGAAGTAAAAGTCTGATTATATTTGGGATCCCAGAGACTGAGGAGAACTTGGATGCTAAGGTATCTGGTATTTTGTTGGACCATCTCAACGAAAAACCAAAAATTTTGAGATGTAATAGAGTTGGAAAGGACACAAGTGAACGAGTCAGACCAGTTAAATTCACTTTGTCAAGCTCAGATCAAGCTCGTACCATCTTGAGCAAGACTAAGTTATTAAGACATGTAGACGGGTTTACTTCTGTTTACATAACTCCTGATAGATCAGCTGCATACAGAATAGCCTACAACAAAGTTGTCGTCCAGCTACTCAATAAAAGGACAGCAGAGCCGGACAAAGTTCACGTAATCAGGAACTTTAGAGTCATTAGCTCGGAGAAGGAGCCTTGAGAGTTTTATATTTTCTATAAGTACAATATTATATGTTTTGATTCATTGATTAATTAATTGTTGCTAGGGCCCAATGTTATTGCGGGTGTGGTATTTACTGCACACTACCGTGTTTTGGTTACCCCTCTCTCAATACATAATTTGGCTTTCGATATTCTGGGATAGTGAAAATTAGGGCTATATCGGTTTTTTCCTTTTATAACTGGGTTTATTTAGAAGCATTCAATTCTGTATAATTATGTATTGTTTGAAAAGTTTTAGATTAAAAAAAATACATATTTATAAATAATATGTATTTAACATTGAATAATGTTAATAAATTTTTATAAACACAAATATGTCTCACAGTGATGGAGTTATGTGTCTTTTATCGGGGTATTCATCACTTATCAATGCCATGAAGCTCGTTTTGTAATCTGTATTCTGAAATGGTGATTTTATTGCCGAGTGACACAATATTTTTGGTATTGTACATGTAATCTCTGGTAATCAACACGGTTCATGTTCAAAATGTAAAATTTGGTCACAGTTAAACTGGAAAATAATTAAGATGCTTTAATTTTGTCTTTGCCTTATGATGAGTTATACTTTAGTTTACTTTTACACATTTGCTCACATCACTCACAGTCAGCCACTCTGACATGGTTAACATTTAACAACAACCTTCCTTGTGTTGTTGGTTAATCATATGATCGGGATATAAATACCTCATTTCATTTCATAATAGCAATGTGTTTTAAACAGCAATTGAATTTTAGGAATTCAGCACAATAGAAGTGTTGCAGTATATGACGAAAAAAAAACAAACACTTTAAGTGGACATTTTTCTTACTAACCTTAAATTCTCATAAATTAATTGGAGGTGATATTCTCTCTCTTTCTTCCTGTTCATCTCTATTCTGTCGACATTCGTATAGACTTTATACATCATCGTCATTGTTCCTGGGGTTGTTAATTATTAACTTGAGATAGGAGTAGATTATCGTTAGACCTTATGAAGATCTTCTGGTTTTTGTTATTTGAAATGGATATCACCAGATTTGCGGTTAGTATCTAATATTTGCTAGACTATATCATCAAGGGTTTATGTTTGAGCTGGATTCTACGTACATCTCACGATTGTATTAAGTGTTTTCGTTTAAATTGAATATATTTATGAAACAAAGTGTTTTACTATGTTATAATGAAAATGCATTCTTTGTTAAATTTTTGAATTTAAATTGATTTTACATTTTATTTTGCTTTGTCAAATGCTGTTGTGTTGGGATCTCAGAACAGGTTACCTCGATAACTTTTCTGGGGACTTATGGGTACTGGGTTTCTGCTGTCATACTTTTCCATCCGGAAACTCAAACACACATTTTCTTATTTGGATATCTAAGTTAGATTGCAGTATCATCTGAGCTATTTGTCATAGCCCATCAACTGTAAGATTAAATTAAATCAGTTTTCTATAGTAATATAACCATTAACCAACTCTCCCCCTTACGACATTATTTTACCCCCTTTCGTCAGTTATGCTGATACTACCCTGGTTGTACGAAGAGTTTAGTTATCCTTTTGTAGTGATGATTATGGTCATTTAGCATATCCGCCTCTACAATACCTGTATTTACACACTCGGGTTCATTAAAATCGAAAATAAATTCCGTTCCTGAGGTGCAGGTCACCTCGCTGCTCCCTTTATGGAGAGCTCTGGAGTCAACACAATTCACTTCCACCACGGTTCCTGGGACTACTGGGAACTGTGTTGTTGTTCTGATCGCAGTTCTCCACTCAGGCTTCAGTCCCGTACAGCTCACTGTCGATATGTCATATTAAATCACGTTAAATTGATTAATAAGGGTTATTTTGACGGTTTCCTGTGTTTTCTTCCGCAGTTCCGCGATTTAGTTTTCCTGTCCCAACCCGAACCCTTTCAAGCAACCTCAAATATAACTATACTATCGTTTGCTCGGTGGTCCAAGTCTCAAATACTGTATACAATTTACCATTCTGTAGCGCAGTTAAATTAAATTTAAAACATAACAATAATATAAAATTTAAAGTTATCTTACCACAGGCAGTTTTGTTAGTGTTTGGTTTCCATCCAGCGTCGCATGTCTCACAGCTTGTCATAGCATCATTCCGATATGTTCCTTCCCCACACGGCTCTGGAATTATAACGTTATATATTATTACAACTGGTAAATCGTTGTGGAAGATAAGGAAATCGTTATTATATAAGTACACTTCAGATGTGTTAAATCAAATTAGATTTAAAACAATAGGTGAATAATTAAATATCCACACAACCACGGTTTTTTGATAGAATTATTACCACCCAGACTCTTACGGTTCTTGTCTTTTCTTACCACAAATTTGCCTTCTTGATTCTAAGCCCTATCTGGCGCCTTATCCTGATCCCGTCTTAACCCTTAGCCTATCTTTGCCCATCTATATAATATAGATATAATCATCTCAGCTCTATTTAGAAGTTATTGTGAGTACCAATATCCTCGGTTTTCATTCTATAATTGCACAGTTATTTCAAATTTAAAACACAGCAATAATATTAAATATAAGCTTCAAAGTTATCTTACCACAGGCTGTTTTGTCAGAGTTTGGTGTCAATCCAGCGTCACATGTCTCACAGCTTGTCATAGCATCATTCCGATATGTTCCTTCTACACACGGCTCTACAATTATAACGTTAAAAATGGCAAATCGTTGTGGAAGATAAGAAAATCGTTATTATATAAGTACACTTCATATGTGTTACAATTACATAAGATTTAAAACAATAGGTAAAAAATTAAATATCCACACAACCACGGTTTTTGTTAGAATTATTACCACCCAAACTCTCACGGTTCTTGTCTTTTCGTACCACAAATTTGCCTTCTTGATTCTAAGCCCAATCTGGCGCCTTATCCTTATCCCGTCTAGTCTTAACCCTTATCCTATCTTTGCCCATCTATAATCTATATAGATATAATCATCTCAGCTCGGTTCTTGTTAACAATTCTTACCACATTTTGTTCTCCCTGAGTTTCGTTCCTGGCCAAGTTCACAAGTTGTACACAAGGCTGCTCCTTCTGAACTGATCGTGTTATCAAGGCATTCTTCACATGTGTTCATTTCAATGTTCTTGTAGCTTCCAGCTGGACATAGCTCTGAAGAATTAGGAAATCTTTAAGCAGCAATTCGTTTGAACTACCTTATTTAGAAGTTATTGTGAGTACCAATATCCTCAGTTTTCATTCTATTATAGCACAGTCAATTCAAATTTAAAACACAACAATAATATTAAATATAAGCTTTAAAGTTATCTTACCACAGGCTGTTTTGTCAGAGTTTAGGGTCAATCCAGCGTCACATGTCTCACAGTTTGTCATAGCATCATTCCGATATGTTCCTTCTGCACACGGCCCTGGAATTAATAACGTTAAAACTGGCAAATCGTAGTGGTAGATAAGAAAATCGTTATTGTATAACTATTTAAGTACAGTTCAGATGCGTTACAATAACATTAGATTTAAAACAATATGTGAAAAATTAAATATCCACATATTCCACGATTTTTCGAGGAAATTATTGCCACCCAGACTCTTACGGTTCTTGTAATTTTCACCACAAATTTTCCTTCTTGGTTCTAAGCCCAATACTAATTTAAATTGCTATCAGTCATTAGGATTAAAACTAAAAATTCGGCTCATCAACAAACTATATGGCACAATCCACATATTGTGTAAACTCTGCAAAATAAATATTGAACCAAAAAAGTTTTGAGTTTGTTTGGTAAAATACCTTACTGCTTATGTTCAAGATATTTTGTAAAAACATCAGTTTTCAATTGATAATTGTTTCAACCTTAATAGCTGAAAATGGCTTGTCTCCATGATGTCTACTACAAAATATGCAATATTTCTAAATCATAGTTAGCTATTTTGCAATCTGAAAGAATATGATTTCATTTCATTCGGAGAACAGTAAATGATAAAATGATGACCACTTTATTAAGTTATACATAACAATATGTACTAACTATTTACTATCCTATATCCCATATCCTATACTATATGCGTTTATGTTAAACAACTAAATAACATACTTAAAATTTAGACAGAAAACACGTAATCACGAGCTTACGAGAGAATCATCAAGTTGTCTTATTTTTAAATTAAAGTTATTGTTTGTTAAACCAAAGCTTGTTGTTATTAGTCACCTGGTCCGTAGTAATCAGATGCTGAGTCAGAGGAAAAGAACTTTATCTTTGTCACGTCTCTGTTCCAGTACGTGCTCCAACTACTGTCACTACACGTTGCTTGAGAGATCAGTATGTTGAGCACCTCTACCTCGTTACAGTGTATCACTAGTCTAACACCTGCAGTTCTGGTTAGAGTGATACGCCACACCTTGTCAGTAGGAGAGGGGGGATTAACATGGAGGTTCATGTAGGGTGTGTTGCAGTAGCCGAGGTTGTATTGTGGAGTAGAGTCGAAGTAGAGCTGGACTAATCCTGCATAATCTATTATAGAAGAGTAGAAGCGCACTTTCACCGCTTCGCCACTCCTCAGCCCACTATTAGTTTTAATTTCTAAAGGTGTCGACTCAAGATCCCACTCTATTTGCACCTCACGTTCGACTGGTAACCAACCTGTTAATTGTATGTTTAATTCATGACTACTGATCAGCAACGATTAATGAATATCATGAATTTAAAGAAGAGGTGTTCTAGCAAAATTGTAAAGGAAATGTATGAATGTCGCCCATAGTTTATTCTCAGAATTTAAGGACCCGACCATACTATGACTGTTGTCACCATGACTGTTGTCACCCGAGCGTGCTAAATCACTCTACAGTCAACCTTCGAGATTGTTCTAAAAGGGCCCCCGATGGTTGTAACCAACTTAAATCGATGTATTTTCGAAAGCTGATTCCGAATCACCCCCATGACATAGGGTTAAAATGCTCTCCTGACGAGATATTGGCGAAAAACTGTATCGATCACGTGATATGACCGTATAAGGAAGTTAGTCTAATTTCTCGTTAGGGTTAGGGTTTCAGCATATGTTTTTGTTAAGGATTGGGTTAGGGTTAGGGTAGGGATCAGATTAGAGGGTTAGGGTACCGAAAACTCGTTCAGAACCAGCTAAAGAATGGGTTAAAAAAGTCACGTGACACTCGAGTGTAGAGTGATTAATCATCATCCGTTGTCACCATGACTGTTGTCATGGTGCGGTCAGATGTAATGACCATATGTACGTAGTGTGTTTATAGGGCGTGCCAAGGATACGTCAAAAGTCGAACCTAGCTGATAATCCGTGCCTGAAGTGACTGCAGGCACAGTCTATTGATTCAGTACTCGTGCCAACTGTTATGGATAACGTGACGTCACGATTACCTAATAAGGTCAATATTTTGCGTGATATGGACATTTGCAGTGCAGAGTGCAAAGATAGTACTATAGTACAGAAACATCCGTCTAAAAAATCAATCTACTGACAGAATTAGAAAAAGCTTCCAAAGGATTTATGACGTTTTTAGGTTCAATTTTAAGTTTCATTCGGGTGGCCAACTTTTCCTAAATTGTCGACGTGTCTTAAGGCCACTTTTTGCCACTTTTACCACTTTTTACCTCCTTTCTTGTTTGTCAAATATCTTCAGCTGTGAACATCGTAGAAGGATACGAATTAATAGAGGGTTATTATCATATCGACGAGAAAAACTTTTGTAAGACAAATGTTCATGTCAGACAATTAGATAATTGGATAGTTACTAATTACCAAAATTCATAAACATTTTTATTGGCTCAAAATGATCGGAATTTCTTGAAACACACAGGTAGTTTTTGAAAAAACTTTCGAAAATTTAAAATTTTTTTCCGCCAAAAGTTTTTTCGAATAGAAGTTCTAATGAAAGCATCAAACCATGGTTTGGTGGCCGAACTGCATCCGACCGAATTGGTCCCCACTGGGAACCGAATTGGTCCCCACTGGGAATCGAACCCCAGTCGTCCGTGTGGGAAGTAAATGTATTAAAACCACTAAACCACCAGGCCGACGTGACAGCACTCACTTTTTACTATTTTCATTCCAATTATCATAGTATGTTTAGAGATCGAGCCTAAAATCTTGACAAATAGCACAGTGTGTTAAGAGGCCGTGCCTGTACTCGTGACAACAGTCATAGTATGGCTCTTACTTCCTTTTCCCATAGGTAGTATACAAATTTGCGAAATTTGTGACTAAAATTATGGTATTACCAAAATGTTTGTAACCAAATTTATTGTGAACCAAATTTATTGATCTTAAGGTATACTTTTATGCGATACATCGCATAAATATCATTATGGTAAACTTTTAATCAGTATATTATGTAATCATTTGATTTAACCTGTTATCCGGTTTGCAGGAACCATGTAATTCAAATTTTTCCCGCTAACTTCATTTCCCGATTACTTCGCTGCCTGTTAGGTGCCTTGCCGTCGCTCGATAGGCAGCAGTATTTATGCGACCAGATCTGTAAAAAATTTTCTTACAACGACATATTATGCTATCTTTTATAATCCAATATTTTAGATCTTTACACCTTGTTGTATTTGCGGAGGATCAAAGCATACAGACTGTTACTGGTTACAATGCTAAAAAACAGCAAACTTTTTTCCCTAGAGCGTTAATTGTATTGACGGAGGTCACTAGTATCAAGATCTTAGTTTTAAGTTATATTTAAACAAAACACTTATTTAACAATAGATGTATCTCCAATCAGATATAGATAATGTAACTACACAAGCCACAGCACTTAAGTCTATGATATGTAGGCTGAGACATCTAGAAAATGCCGTTTTGAGTATAAGTTGTTAACTCAGAGTCAGACCCCTGTTTGTTTCAGCTGTTAGATTTAGCATGAAGCAAAGAGAGGAGTGAATTTCCGAGAATTAAACAATTTGAACTTATTGTAGTGACACCAGATGGATATTTAATGTTATCATTTAGGTCTTGATTCTTTTCTGTTTGATCCCTGTCACCCTGTGGTCAATTCAAAGATAATACTTTCAACACTCGCACTTCTACTGGATAAACTTCACCTCATTGGACACACTATCTACTTATCTACAGCTCTTATCCCGACGTACACAAGTATCAGCCCGAAAGCAGCTCAAAAGGATTTCTACTGAGTTTGATTAATGTAGTAAACTTAAATTCGTTACAATTTGCAGGCCGTGAATTGATGGGGAAAACGAGCGACCGATTTCATTCCCGGTATCATTTTGTATAAATTTGAGAAAAAAAAGGAGATCCGGTCGATGGTCCAATCTACCCAATTTTTGGTTTTGGTGAAACATATTTAATACTATACTATCTCATTTCACCGGGTACAATTGTGGTATATTTCTATTTTCTATAACGATAAATTATTGATATGTTTTTGATCAATGATAAGTAAAATAGCAGCTCATGCATGCACATGTCACGTACCTAGCTTACCACAGAGAGATAGCGAGATGATTTGTAGGAATATTAACTTCGTTTGAAGATTCCGCATGTCTGCCATTCTACATTGTTAGAAAGATCGATGTTTAACTTTAAACTAATTAACTCGCCAGAGTGCTATCACGTGAATTAAATGAATTTGTGGATTTGCAGCCGAACGAAACGGTTTTATAAACCCTAATCCTATCCACTTCCAGTAGGCATGACCCCGAAGCTGATCACTATAACCGTAATTCGTGTTTTACAAGCCTGTCGTGTGACGGGTGACCAAAACAATTTTTGCCGATTACTTCTTGGGCAAGCGTTTCAACCCTATACATTTATAGCAGCCCTATATATTTAAAGCAGGTAATTCGGAATCAGCGTCCAAAATACATCGAACGAAGCTTATACTATTGACATTTATATTTGTTTGGAGAGGCGAATCATACACAGTTTATTGACATTTTACATACTTTCATGGCCGGGCTCTTTCCTAAACGTTTCAAATATCATCGGCGAGTGATAACTAGCAGAAAGCCCATGCTCTACACCATTCTGCCCTCCTCTAAAGACTAAATAATCGGGTCTACAATCACCATCTTGCGATTAATTTTGCGATTAAATAATTTTAATCTTATACCTTTCTAGATGCAAACATCATATTTATGATACTAGAAAACCCGTGGTCACAGGGAGGAAGCTAATAGTATTTTTTGTCAGTAAGTTTAAATCGAATCAAAAAATATCCTACTCAACCGAAGATACAGCCGATTAAAATGTTGCTCGCACTAAACACAACGTAATATCAACAAAACCGATAAAAATGCCGTTTTAACAATCTTTGCACGTGCACGTGCGTGTAGCAACCCTCGTTACCCTGGTTACTATGCAACCTTTTGCTTTTTACCTAATTTGCACGTGGGTGGTCGTACAGACATTGTACAAACAAAGATAATTCTCTGAATTATTATATGACTAGAAAACCCGTGGTCACAGGGAGGAAGCTAATAGTATTCTTTGTTGGTAAGTTTAAATGGCGTCAAAAAATATTCTACACATGAACCGAAGATACAGCCAATTAAAATGTTGCTCGTACTAAACACAGCGTAATATCAACAAAACTGATCAAAATGACTTTAAAACAATCATTGCACGTGCACGTGCGTGTAATAATCCTAGTTACCATGGTATTGGTAACTACGCAACTTCCTATTTCTCGTCTGATTTGCACATGGGCGGTCGTACAAACGGCAAACAAAGATAATTCTCTGAATTATAAGTAAGACTAGAAAACCCGTGGTCACTGGGAGGAAGCCAATAGTATTTTTTGTTGGTAAGTTTAAATTGCGTCAAAAAATATACTACACGACTGAAGATACAGCCAATTAAAATGTTGCTCGTACTAAACACAGCGTAATATCAACAAAACCGATCAAAATGACGTTAAAACAATCATTGCACGTGCACGTGCGTGTAATAACCCTCGTTACTATGGTTACTATTTAACTTCCTATTTCTCGCCTAATTTGCACGTGGGCGGTGAGCGGTCGTACAGTGTACATACAGAATAATTCTCTGAATTATAGTAGAGATATAGAGGCAACAAAAAGTTGCATTCAAAAGAAAAAACGGTTCGGCTCTATCACAAATTTCATCTTGCATCTTAGGGCATTAGGGGGGCGCCAAAATCATTGATGTTAAGTACGCCGAAAAACCGGTCTAAATTCTAAGAGTAAGACATACGTGAAATACGGCATATTTTGCAGCTTTAGAAAAAAAGTTTGATGTTAAATTTTGTCCGAATACGCTCGTATGCCGTACGTTTATAAAATAAGCTATGTACTTAACATCCTTGGCCAAATTGTCGTTTGAATGTGGGATAATTTTGAAAAACTTAACTGAAGTACTAGCAAAACTGCGCGTTTTGCTCTAGAAACACACTTTTTAGAGATTTTTACAGGCGTATCCTCTAAAATCACCTGATTTGTTCAATTTTAGGGAGGGGCGCCAAAAGGGAGAAGGCATCAACAGGGGGCGCTTTTTCGGCGCCAACAGGCAACGTTACACCACTGATTCAAGTGCGACCTATTCCTGTAATTTAGTATATTGTGTCATGTTAAGTAAGGACAAATAAGACCGTCATGACTTTGCAACGTGGCTATGGATGGTATTCAATGTGATCTTTTGCATTTTGCAGCGAGGTAGTGCAGTTGGGAAAAAGAGAAAACACATTATATTACAAATGTTTTGAATTGGCTTGCATAAAAATTGAAGACTGACAGTTCATAAAAACCATACTCAATGCCAAATTCCAATGAGTGGTAAAGCTTCTAGAATTTTCTATTACAAAACAGAGCGACCAGACGACCTGTGGGCCTTATGGCTTTATGGCATCATCCTGCTCGCTGCGTCTTTGGTGTTCGTTACCAAAATCAGTTGTTATCGATTTTACCCGAGAGAAAACGTCCGCGGTAAATTTAGATTTCCAGAGAGCGGGAGTTAAAACCAAACGTCAGGCACAACTCTAACTCTCTAAGAGAACTCTGGCCGGGCATTGGGAGAGGGACAAATCTTAATATGCTAAACTAATGGTAAGCACCCATCAAACTAGGATAAACTATATGGTCATCCACATGGGATTCCTTGTCCAAACGTTGACCGTTTAGAGCTGATTTGCATTGCCAACTTGGGATTTTTTCCGAAAGTGGTTGGTTTCGGGTCAAGGCATTGGGAGAGCAAAGAGGGACATATCTTAATATGCTAAACTAATGGTAAGCACCCATTAAAATAGCTAAATAGGATAAACTATGCTCATCCACATATGATTCCTTGTCTAAACGTTGACCGTTTAGAACTGATTTACATTGCCAACTTGGAGGGTCTATGACAATAGTGAAACGACATTGGGGGTCACGACGCGTGATACAAGGCATTGGGAGAGCAGAGAGGGACAAATCTTAATATGCTAAACTAATGGTAAGCACCCATTAAAATAGAATAAACTATGCTCATCCACATCACAGGCGGAGCAAAGTGCAAAGAAACTGCCACAAACTGCTACAAAAGTACAAACTGCTACAAACTGGCACTAACTGGCACAAACTGCTACTAACGGCGCGCGAATGCGTGGGCGCGATTGCAGCAGTTTATAGTAGCAGTTTGTGGCAGTTAGTGCCAGTTTGTAGCCTAGTTAGTAGCAGTTTGTAGCAGTTTGTGGCAGTTTGTTTGCACTTTGCTCCTCCTGTTGTGACATGGGACTCCTTGTCTAACGGACGGTTAACTTTAAGAGCTGCTTTACTAAGAAACTTGGTACCTTGAATTGTTGAAGTTGTGGAATTGCTGGCCCAGTCTACAAAAAAATACATGATGTGAACCGCGACGAATCGTGTTCGCAAGATCACTTCGAAATAAGTGACGTGAACCGACCCGACGAATCACATAATGATCCATAAGAAGGATAGGATGTGACCTGAACTTGGAAATAAGTCAGGATATTTTGTCGCAGTAGAGTACGCTACCTGGATCGTAGTGCGACACGTACCCTAGTGCGACAGAGGGTGTTTTTGTCGGACTTCGCACTAGAGTACGTGTCGCACTAGAGTACGTGTCGCACTACAGTACGATTACCGTCCAGTTATGAGGGTTATTTTTTATTGTTGATTGGGACTGGCCAAAAAGTGCTAACCAATGTTAACGGAATAAAAATTTAATGCACAATAATTATGTGAGTTGTGAAATTTCTGAAATCCTAGTCCTACTCCTACACACCTAATATTATGTATTCATTATCTTTTCTTAATCTTATTATAATTGTAAGAAAAGATAATGAAAAAATGATAATATACCTACAATTCTACGTGCTTATTGTCACAAAATCTTAATTTCTCTTTTAAAGTAAAAGAAAATAATCTGAGCATTAAGATTCTATAAATGAGCCAGTTAGTGAAGACAGGAAAGGTGTGCAATGGGAGAGCCAAGCTTGCAAGATTCGTCGAATTATTATATGTTATACTTATAGGTACTCATTTTTTGTCATTTCCTTGTAGCCCAATGCGATTGTTTAACTTTAACTTTAAGTTTATGAAGAATTATGTAATTACAGATAGTGTCATTTCCTTGTAGCCCAATGCTAATGTTTAACTTTAAGATTTATGAAGACTTATGTAATTACAGAGAGTAGCAGAGAAGTTTTGCGTGTGGCTCGAAAACACAATTTTTAGACCAAAAATTAGTTTTTAGCAATTTTAAACGGGAAAAACGTCCGCGGTAAATCTAGATTTGCAGAAATCAGGAGTTAAAGCCAAAGGTGAGGCACAACTCTAAAATAACTCCGGCCAGTTCTGGGTCCTGGCATAACATAGGTTGAGAGACGTCATAAGACAATCTTGATATGCTAAAATGAATGTAATGGTAAGTGCCAATTAAATCAGGATAAACTCTGTTTATTAACATGAGACTCCATGTTGACAGTTTAGAGCTTATGTACTAAGCAACGTAATACCGTGAATTATTGAAGTGGTGGAATTGTTGGTTGCAGCCTGCTCGACGCAGATTACTGAACTAAAACCTTGACCGGAGGATAATGATGTCCTTTAAAAAATAAAAGCTGTGCGGAGAATTGCAGGTAAATCTATAAGTTTATAAAACACATTACGCAGACACGCACAAGGATTACATTTTAATTTCCCGCGTCGAGTGCGAAGAACGAGGGATTGTTATGAAAATAACGCTGACTTGCTTTAGCACGAGGGGTTATTTTAACATAACTTTAAGCGTGCAGGCGTTTTGTGTTATAAACTCTTCCGGGATGTTGCTAAGTGCTAGGGCTAATTCGTTTTAATATTTACTTTAAATTCTAGCTAAATTAAAATATGATCAGTATGGATTAAGAAATGGAATTGGGACGTATATCATTATCACAGTGTTGGCAAGCATGATCACCGTCGCCCTTATAGTTATACTCACTATACTATTTACCCCTATACTATTATACCCCTTTTACTGTTTTCAGGCATTAAGACTCACCGAAAGAAGTTCAGCAGGCATATCTTAAGTTTAAAACATTCTAATCCAATTTCA